TAATTAAGATAAATAAAAGCAAAGGTAAATGAGAAAGGTAACTAGGATGGTAATTAGTGGTTATGAGATGCCTATTAGAGGTAAGGTTGCTGCTGTTTCCAGATGATTACACTCTAGTTGTTCGTTAATCATAATATATACAAACTTTAGTGAATAATCTTGGGAAAAATTTAGTATTTGGTGAAAGTTTTTAATCGTGAATGTGATCCAAAGTAAAAATAGTAAGAGAAAGGGGAGACAGAGGGAGATGAGAATGTAAGTTTTAAAAGAAGATAAAATGGAAGAATTACTAAGACTCGGATATCTTGGGAATGGTTGTGTCAGCGAATGGAACAGTTATGGAACAGTTAGTGTGTGAATTGACCGAGAGAGAGAGAGAGAGAGAGAGAGAGAGAGAGAGAGAGAGAGAGAGAGAGAGAGAGAGATGGTATTAGTTACGATAAAAGATATAATGTCGAGAGGGAACCATTTCAAAAGGAGGGGGGGAGGGAGGGAGATGATGGAAATATATAGTGGAATGTATGTATTTCCTCAGGCGATTCGAACATATTGGCAGGATGGAAAGTGGTAAGATTTGGAATTTAAGTAGGAGAGGGTAACACCAGGAAGGATATGGTAGGATGGGGGTGAAGGATGCACTAGAAATAAGGAGGATGGGCGTAGGAAGGGAACGGATACCAGAGAGGTGAGTGGTATACGGGGAAGGAATGGTGATGATTTGTCTTATGTGAAGCGACTGGAGTACACGAAATCTTTTTTATGGAAGGGAGTACTGAAGTTAAAGTCATCTATTACAGTACAGTAGTGGAATTAGTATTATTATTATTGTTGGTAGTAGTAGTAGTAGTAGTAGTAGTAGTATTGATGTTGTTGTATCAGTGAGGTTCTTGGACTGAAATCTCCGTTGACTGTCCACCTGGTTCTTTATGAGGGTGTGGACTCTGTGTTACCCTTATTTTCCCCCGCCACAGTTTGTCAGCGTTAGTGCTCTCTCTCTCTCTCTCTCTCTCTCTCTCTCTCTCTCTCTCTCTCTCTCTCTCTCTCCTGTGTGTGTGTGTGTATGTGCGTTTGTCATGTTTCAGCTGCGGAGTTTTATGATTTTTTTCTCTTGTTTTTGTTCTTTTATCAAAATATCCTGCGTCTGGGCCTTTATTAAACTGTCTTCTGTCTCTCTGGGTCTTATCACGTGTTTTGTGTTTCCTCTCCTTTATCATACTGTCTTGTGGTTGTGTCTTTATTAGCCTGTTGTTTTTTCGGTGTTTATGTTTTTGTATTAATCTGTGTCGCTTGTGTTTTTTTGTGATATTTTCAGTGTGTTGTGTTTTTATACCTCTTTTCAATCTCTGTTTGGTGTTTTTTTATGTTTTATCAGTTTTTATTTCGTAGTTCTTTTGTTTTTTGCATTTATTATTATTTTTATTTAATTTCCGTCCCCACTATGACCACTGTGCGGTAAAGGTGTAAAAAGTGACCAACATTGAACTATTAAAAATTTGACAGGTTTCCCTATATGCAGTTTTTGATGATATGGTTCTATTTTCAACTTTTTTTTTTTTTTGATTGATTGATCGAATATTAATTTTCACTTCGACATTTTACGACTATTTGTGTGTATGTATGTAGTGGGTTGTCAAGATTGGTTTGTTTGTTTTTGGGGGGGATTTTTTACAGTATCGCATAATTAGTTTTTTTTTTTATATCACATTTTTTTTTTTATATTTTTTTATTAATTTATCAGTTACTTGATTTTTGTAGATTTTTATCAAGTATTTTTTTTTCTTTTGTGTTGATTGGTATTTATTTTTATCATTTTCTTTTTTATTTGGTAATTGTAGATATTAATTATTTTTATTGTTTTCCGAATGTTGTGGCAAAATCTAATTCTAGTTTTTACCGTGTCTTTTCCCAAAACCAACCCAACCCAACCCAGTCCAACCCAACCCAACCAGTCCCACGGAATTAAAACCTATACTTCAAAACCTACGTCCTGATTCCGTATTTAGTTTTACCCTTCATTTAGGGGAGCTGTGACTAACTCTCCCAGACACGGAGGAGTCATCAAAGCAGTAGTGTTGGCTGGTGTACACAGTTGAACACTATTTGGAAACTAATCTAGAAAATTGAAGTTACCCTTTGACGGATGTGGAGCAAATGGAAACGACTTTGGTGCTTGTTCATCGACTAAATGATTGCTGCATCAGTAGTTAGTTTGCAAGACCCGTCCTTAGTGTGTGTGTGTGTGTGTGCGTTTAGAGATTAGTTGTGTTAGTTGCGTTTGTTGTTCTTTACAGGTGATGTGAAGTGTTTAGACAATAATTGTAGTCGTAATTCAATTTTATTCTGTGTTAGGAGTTAGTTTATTTTGTTTAGATGTTTGTAATAGTTTTTGTCCTCATGAAAAAATATATATAATTGCAATGTTTTTTTTGTGATGTTCTGGATTCTTTCTTTCACTTCATATTGTTACTTCAGGTACAGGTAAAAAAAAATCAGTTACAGGTACAATACTATTACCCATGATTAAGGTATATATACATTAGTTACATAATTCTCTACATTTACATAATAACTACATATTAGTATCACTCTCATCACACCTCAGGATCAAGTGTGTGTGTGTGTGTGTGTGTATTACCTGTCCAGACCATCGTAGCATGAGGAGAGAGGTAAATCGTATATCGAAATTACATACTTAATTAACCATCTATTGGAGTTATCGTCTCCCAGGTGAGGTGTTCCCTTCACCACCTAGTACACACACACACACACACATACATACACACACGCACACACATACAAAATATCTTATACAGGTAAGACGTCTCACTTACCTACAAAGAATCTATAAAACACAGAGACAGTAAAGCACCTTATATCAACCATAAATACCCAGGTCCCTCCCCTACCCCTCCCCGCACCTCCCCCTCCACACCTCCCCACACGGGCCTTTCATCTCTCACGTTACCTCACAAAGTACAGCTTCAGAAATTCCCTTTGATGGTAAAAATTTCTACAAATATATTTTTCCTTCATATTTCTTCCTGGCAAGAGACTCGGTGTGACGCAAACTGTCCTTCTCCAAGTTGTCGTTCGTGTCGCTCAAATTATTGCCAGGCTTGGATTCTCAGAGGTTCCTCACGTTAAATATTTTCCTCTTGAAGTGTAGATATGGGGTAGGAAGGAAGGAATTCTCAGAAAGTCTTAGGTTAAATTTCTCACCTGATTGGATCACTTAGAGGTTGAGAAGGACAAAAAATTAATTCTCAGAGATACGTTAAATTTTTTCTCTTAACTGGATATGTGATTTGTTTCCTAACTTGTTGATGTAAATTACGACAAAAGGAAAGATTATCAAAGTTTCTTCCATTAAATGTCTCTTATAACAGCAGATATGGGAATATATAAGTTACAGCAGAGTATTAAACACACTTCTAACGTCATTCAACCATTGATCACTGTGTTAAACCTCATGTGAAGGAGTTAACTGCATTGTAACCTTAAATTATGAAGAAAAAATACAACATTGGAGCCATTGGTAAATCAGGTGTATTGTAGCTCAGGTAAAACAGGTATTTATATACGTTTTATATTATCATTACCTGGGGTAGTTTATCATTATGAGCCCTTTTTGATATTCCATCCTTCTGTTGTAGTTTAAGCAAGCCAATTAGATACTCGTTCACAGCACCCGCCCTCCCGCCCGCCTGCCGCCGCGCCGTGAGGAAAAATTTCATGAAAGAACCTACGAGAATCCATCTTTTTCTTCTTAGCTTAAGTGAGCCAGTTAGCTGCGTCTTACACCATTTGCCGCAGAGGAGAAAATTTACCCTGTGGAATTTTGAGAATACCTCTTTTGTTTTAGCTCCAGTAAGACAGACCTAACCTAACCTAACCTAACCTAACCAACAGACTAAAATTCATCACAATCACACAGTTAACTATACAGTATTGAATGGGTTAAAATGTTAAAATATAAAATAAATAGTAGAGAAAATATTACCTTTTTGGGGGGGAGGGGGAAGGAAGGGTACTATTGGGGAAAAAACTCCTTTTGACGAGAATAAAACATTTTTTCCCTCCCTCCTGCATAACATTTCGCCGCGTTTTGTTCCGGCGTTGTAGTGAGGTATTGGAAAATGTAACCGAGCTATTTGTGTGTGTGTGTGTGTGTGTGTGTGTGTGTGTGTGTTAGTGAAAGGTGGTAGTGTTGGTGGGGAGAAATATTTTTCGTTAAGTTATTTCTGTGTGCTGGGTGCTGGTGGTACTAGTGGCTTGGTACTAACTAGGTGCTAGGTATTCTGGTGCTAGATAAGGGTTAGGTATATATTAACCGAACCAAATTAAGTAAGGGTGAAAAACAGCATCAAATACACATTGAGACGACCTTAATGTTCTTTGGTCTCTCTTCACCCGTATATATAATCCAAGTAAATCCGGATTCACACACAAACACCAACAAATCAAATATAATTTTCTATAGATATAAAAAACACTAAAAAAAATATTAAAATTATATTAGTTATTTTATTCCTATTGATTCGTTAAGTTCTTTATTTACTCATATATTAGGGTATAAGAAGTTAGTATTTTATAAAGTTATATAAAATACAGTTTGTGATTTTAGGTCGTTTGTGTCTAGGGAGATTTCGTTATAGATTAAAAATAAAATCGTTGTTGTTTATAAGTTAATTTCACTAGTATTGTATAACCAGTAATTAGTTATTGTGTTTTTGTTTGATATTCTTTCGTTATTTCTTTTGTTTATTGTTTATGTTATTATTTAATGTGTTTTTATACCCAGTTGAGGATGATGAGAAGAAGAAATTAAATGTTTGGTAATTGTTTCATAGATCTCTCTCTCTCTCTCTCTCTCAGTAGTAAAAAGATTACACTTATTTTCTCCCATATCACCTTCTTATTTGGGGGGTGGGGGGTGGAGGATTGTGATGGGGGGAGAATATGGTAGTATTTTTGCTGAGGAGTTTGAAAGTCGACCTTACCTCAAGCACGAAGTTGACTGTCGAGCGAGTAAGGTGCTGTTTTTGTTATAGTTGTTGTATTTGTTGTTGTTGTTGTCTTTATCATACCACACTTGACGAGGACTTGGTAGTAGCAGCGACACCACTATTACGCCGTCGCTACCACCACTACAACCATTATCATCACCACCACTACTACTACTACTACCACCATCACCACCACCTCCACCACCAACACAGCACTTCATCATCGTCTCCCACACTACATATAATCACCCGGTAAATAAACATTAATATTTGTAAACAAGAGACTAATGCCATTCAAAAAACGTAATATGATTTTTTTTTATGTTTTCTTAAAGTTTGGGGGATTTTTTTGTTTTTTTTTGGTTTTTCAAGTGTTTCTCCGGATGGTTGAGTCTATGATATGTGGTGGTGATTCTCGTGACCAGCGGCTTAAGTTCAGCAACAAAAATAAATTATCTACAAATTTCACTCATTGGGTAAAGTCATTTTAAAACTTTGAACTTATCTAAAGAAAAAAAAAACTTTATAAATCACTAGAGTGTTATTTCCTCTTTGGACACAGTTCTAATTACAGAGTAGTGATTGCGGATATTGTTCTTTCTAGCACTTATCTCACTCAATGAATAACACAGATTGAGTCCCTGCCAAGCGAGAGCAAGTGTTCCCCCCTTGAGAGAGAGCGAGCGTGTCCCACCCCGACGGTGGCTCAGCCCTGACTGGGGGGGAGGAGGGGGAAGCTGCCCTGGTTTCCTAGATTTGTTCACGGTTGTCAATTCGCCAATTTCTCCACAGCAATAAACTCTATCCAACTCTTCCCTTAGGATATTTTTTTTAACACATTATATATCACGAAATTACCTCATCGCCTCTACGTTCACGAAGGGATTTTTTTTTCAAGGGATTTATTTAGGGTTGTGGGTAAAATCTCCGGAGCGGCAACTGGAGATTTTGTGACAGTGAGTAAGGGCGATGACACAAGCTACGGGCACCAGTCATTTGTCTGACGCCGAAGGTGTTGGTGGCTAGGTACCTCAGCCCGTACCACCATTACTACTGCTACCACAACCACCATTACTACCACAACCATCAACCACCATTATTATTACTACTACCACTATTACTATTTCTATCTACAACTACTGTCACTACTACTACTACTACTTTCCCATATTTCTCCCAGATCTCTCAGCCTTCTTAGTTCCCCCCAGCTCCCTCACTGCCTCTTAGTTCTCCTAGCCCTCTCAGCCATTCCAACAAACCATCTCCTCCCTCTCCGTTATCCCAGCCCTCTCCGCCCTCTCCAGCCATCCATATATAAGACATAAGAAGCCCCAATGTTGTACTCTGTATGCAAGTTGAAGACGTGTGTGTGTGTGTGTGTGTGTGTGTGTGTGTGTGTGTGTGTGTGTGTGTGTCTATATCACTTAATTCAACCCAGACGAAGGACAGACAGACAGACTGACAGACAGACAGACAGATGCCTTCACTACTAAACCTAAAGATATTGAGAAAAAATTACGAAGACAATTTAAAACATCAAACACGTCTCCATAACTACACACAGGCAAATTCCTCCCATTACTTAACTCTGTACAACCTAAACCTAACCTAAACCTAACCTAAACCTAACCTAAACCTAACCTAAACCTAACCTAAACCTAACCTAAACCTAACCTAAACCTAACCTAAACCTAACCTAAACCCTCGATAAGATACACAAAAGCTCTATCACTATACATTATGAGACGCGTTCGTATATTTAAAAAAAAATATAAATAATCCGTTTCTCTTGTTAAATGGTTTGTTGACGTTGGTTCGAATTATCACCACATACTTTTCGGTGGCGCTGTGTGTACGAGGAGTCTGGTTTAAAACACACAACCAGCAGCGTTCCGGGTTTTCCTGACCTGGCGGATAATGTTTATGGTCTTGATCGAATGTGAGGTGAAGTTTTTTTTTGTTTTTGTTTTTGTTTTTTCCTGTGTGATCAGTTTTTTTTAATTGTTTTTTTTTTAATTATCCTTGTTTGATTTTTTTTGTTTTCTTGTGTTGTTGTTTTTTGTTTCTATTATTTTTATATTATAGTTAAAACACAAAAAAAAACACATACAGTATAAACAAACGTCTTTAAAATCTACTGATCATTCAACTCAATATTCATAAATTTCTTCCCTCCCCCCAAAAAATAAAATTAATATATATATAATAATCCCAATAAATTTCTGTGTTTTTTTCTTTTCATAACACTAATTTATCTATCCGCTGAATGTCAACTGAAATGAAATGTGTGTTTGGATATTCTTGCTTATACAAACAACGCGATATATTGTGTGGGTGCATGTGTGTGTGTGTGTGTGTTTGCTTGTGTGTATGTGAGTGTTTGTTTTTATGTCTATGTGTGTTTAGGTGTGTGTGTACGTGTGTTCTTTTTTTTATGGTGTGTGGGGGTGGGGGGATTTATAAATATCTTTCATTTCCGGTTTCCAGTATCATTACATCACGGTGCTTTGCCTTGACTGTGATTGAATGAAGTGATCTTGAACGTAAATATACCAACTTAATCGACCTTAGATATGTAAATAAATATACCAAGACTGGTTAGATAGGCCCCTTAGGTCTAACAGGCCCCAACCCAACCCAACCCGGATTCAAAGAAGAAGAAAAATGGACTCAGTTACACACTCCAGCATAACAAAACGACACACACACACACACACACACACACACACACACACACACACACATACACACACACACACACACACAGCTTTTACATTTCTTGAAAGTTTCATATCCAAGCACTTCGCTAACTGAGTCAATTCGTCAGTGAGACTTCCATCTTCATTCTCTCTTTCACGTTTCCAACTCAATTTGTCTTCAGTACGAGCGGCCGCCTCCTCGTCACTCCTCTGCTACGGTCTGTTGTTAAACTTCCGTGACCCCTAACAGCTGCTAGTTCCAGTTTATTTGTCTATCATTGCGTCTATTTGTCTATTACTGCGTCTATTTGTCTTATTTTTGCATCTATTTGTTTGTCATTGCGTCCATTTGTCTATTACTGCGTCTATTTGTCTATTTCTGCGTCTATTTGTCTATTATGACGTCTGTCTGTCTATTATTGCGTCTATTTGTCTATTTCTGCGTCTATTTGTCTATTACTGCGTCTATTTGTCTATTATGACGTCTTTCTCTCTATTACTGCGTCTATCTGTCTTATCATTGCATCTATTTGTCTACCATAGCGTCTATTTGTCTATCTTTCTATTCCGTGTCTATCTACCTCTCACTGCCTCTATCTATCACTCCCTACATGTCTCTCTCTCTCTCTCTCCTCTTCCTCCTCCTTTATCATTTTTCTCCTTCATGTATCATCGGCTCTCCGTGTCTCCACCTTCTTAAAATATTTTCAATCATTTACCTTCGTCTCGTCATTCATCTGGTTCGCCCCCCACGCACTCTAATTCGCCGTCTCAACGCACTCTAACTCGCCAGCTCAACGCACTCTAATTCGCCGTCTTAACGCACTCTAATTCATCGTCTTAACGCACTTTAATTCGCCGTCTTAACGCACTCTAATTCGCCGTCTCAACGCACTCTAATTCGCCGTCTCAACGCACTCTAATTCACCGTCCTAACGCACTCTAATTCGCCGTCTTAACGCACTCTAATTCGCCATCTTAACGCACCTTGTAAATTTGTGTCATGAAATTATAACTCATAACTTAAGGTTGTTTTTGTCATTTAAGTTTATGTCATCTACAACTGTCAGCTGTCATGAATCACTGTCAGCTGTCATCAACCACTATCAGCTGTCATCAATCACTGTCAGCTGTCATCAACCACTGTCAGCTGTCATCAACTACTGTCAGCTATCATCAACCACTGTCAGGTGTCATCAACCACTGTCAGGTGTCATCAACCACTGTCAGGTGTCATCAACCACTGTCAGGTGTCATCAACCACTGTCAGGTGTCATCAACCACTGTCAGCTGTCATCAACAACTATCAGCTATCATCAACCACTGTCAGCTGTCATCAACATCTGTTAGCTGTCACCTTCAGCGACACATTACCTCCAGGACTGTCAGTAATGAGGTTGAAATTAAAACTTTTCCACGGAGGCTTGTAATGATGCTGACCTGAGAGAGAGAGAGAGAGAGAGAGAAACGTTAAAGAAAGAAAGAGAATGAATGAAGAAAATGAGAGATAGAGAACCATTGGAGAAAGAGAGAGCTAAAGAAAAAATCGTTTGAGAAAGTGAATTAAGAGATAGAGAGGTGAATGATATAGAAATATAATGAAATAGGGAGAGAAAGAGAGACAGACAGAGAGAGACTTCCTTCCCTCTTTACGGGGAATAAGATTGCTCTTTTCTCCTCCAAATTTAAGGGAAAAAAAATAATGGTCTTGTCTTTTACTTCCACTGAAAATCAAAAGAGGGCAGAAAAAAAAATTCCCCGTCATCGTCAAGAGCAGGAGGCTTCTCTCTGTTCCTTAGAAAAAAAAAACTTTGCCTTGGCGTCGTGGAAAGAAAAAAAAAATCCATCAGCTCTCCCCGACGCAGAGTCCCGAATGGGCGTCTCACAGACCGCTAATAAAATTGGTGAAAGCTTCCACTTTAACTGGCGGCAGCCGGAGGGGGGAACCACGCCATGGCTTGAATAGCTGAAGGAAAATACACGACCGATCAAAAATGGACCAGAGACGGTGTGGGAGGGGGTGGGGGAGAGTGGGGTGAAGAGAGGGGTGAAAGGAAGGGGGAGGGGTGAGGTCGGCTCCGTGATTTCAGTGGAATACAATCACCCGGTCTGCTGGTGGTGGTAGTGTTGCTGGTACTTATATTCACCCTGGTATTGGTTCCCGCCGCCCCCCTTCCCTCATCCCCACCCCCTCCCCCAACACCTCCCCCAACACCTCCCCCAACACCTCCTCGTATCCCAACCAATGGTATTTGTTTTTCTTTAATTTGCAGTAGAACAGCCCGCCGGTGTTTATGTTTGGCTCTCTCAGAACGGGGAGAGAGAGAGCGTTTACTGCACACGTGAATGGTCGAGGAGGTTCGATTACCAACCTGTGTGGAATATTGGGTCTCCTACTTACATACAGACACACACACACACACACACACACGAGGGTGGTGCACTACCTGTGAGTGTTGTGACTTAGGTAATCAACTCCTGCCCGCCCACCGTAACATGGAGTGTATCTGTCTATCTGTCTGTCTATCTGTCTATCTGTCTGTCTATCTGTCTGTCTGTCTGTCTGTCTTTCTGTGTTATGCTCTCCAATTCACATACAAAATTTAAATAAAAAACATACAATTTTAAATAAACTTTGAGAGACAAACACACCTCATCAACAATGCCTGGCCCGCCAAGGTCACCATGGTCGACAAGTGTTCAATAACCAATGTTTTCGTCCATAAATGACAACTAGTGACGAGTCTCATTCCTCATGAAGGTCAGAAAACAAGAAACATTCACGAATAAATAATACCTCGAATGTTTCTATGTATGGCTCAATGTTTACATGTATACCTGTGAGAGTTTACATAATGGTGTATGTATATAATTATGTATGACTAGAGAAGGTATTAGACTGTGTATGAATTGACTTTGTATAAAACATCTCTTAATATATATTTTTTTTCAGAATTAAAGGAAATTGATTGATTAAACCAACGTGATTTTAAAATAAATTATAGAC